CTGTCTCTCGAGATGGGATAAAGCATCAACAAATTTGCGAGGAGCAATGCCAAATATCGCGGTAATGGGTGCATCGAAGATGTCTGTAATACATGACAGCATTCCAACTCTTGGCCATGATGAACAAGTTCTTCTTCCTTGCATTTCACTTGAGTAACATGACTTCCTCCGGTACACAACCTGCATCGGCAGCAAAGGCGGTGGATCGTCACGGTGTGGCAGATATAGTGTTTGTAAGTCAACTTCACACTTTGCGCACCTTACAACCTTTAGGGATCCTTAAGCTCACTGATTCACCCCATGAAGCATCCATTCCCCAGGCTTCCTGTCAAGCTTCGAATGATGATATGGCGTTTGAGCCTACCGACCACTCGAACCGTTTCCATTCGATGCGACACAGCCCACTCAACCTGGGGAACATCTCCAGCAAAAGTACCGGCCATCCTGCACGCTTGCCGCGAATCGAGACAAGAGGCCATACGATTCTATGGTAACTTGAAATTCGGAATAGCTGGCGTACCAAAGGTTTACTTCAACCCCGAAGTCGACGTCTTACACTTTGGTCCACTGAAAGATTTCATGGCGGCATCCGCGCAGTACTTTACGGCCATGTCTTTGTGCGATCAATCAGATCTGATGAACGTCCGCTACTTGGCCATCGATGATTCCGTTCTTGGAAACGGACTCGAAAGGGGCTCCGTCTCTGAACTAGTTACGCGTACCATTCGTCAACTACCACGGCGTATGCCGGGGCTGAAGGGAATTGTGTTCGTGCGCAGCAAAGCGGTGTCCGTGTTTCAAGAGACCGAAGATTATTGCAGAGACCTTCAAGCGTTAATTGGAGCTGCCGTACGGGAAGTTGCCGAAGAATTTCCGGAATGGGACGTTCCTTCGTGGTGTACGGCCACGACATGTACGGATGGAGACCGGTAATAGGAATAGCTCAGCTGGAGGTGTTCAAATGCTACGATAGAAATTCACTAGAAACTTCAATCTCAGCCGCGAGATTTGCCCCGACTGGAGGAAACACTAGAATCATTCCGGAATCTCACAAGGTAGTCCGCCTGTGCGTAAGCAGCTGGATCTCAACCCATGTCTGAATCCCAGGGTAGAGCGAAGGCTGAAGTAGCCCCAGATCCCCAGCAACATGACGCAAGACAAACTTGAAGTCGGAATCATCCTGATTCAGTGAGACTCGCCACCTGATATAACAAAGCCAAGCCTACTATCGCTAGGTGTCAAGGCGCGTTGTATAGGACTGAGCAAGGGCCGCGGAACAAATGATAAGCACGGATAGAAACACGAGTAGGTTAGGGAGCTCACCGAGATGCGCGCCACGAAGATCATTCTTCTCCCACCGGTTGCCAATCGAAGCACTCTAACACCCAAGAGTACCCTAGCAAGGGTCTCGTGGACGCCCTGTCGGGCGGGTATGAATTCTCCCCAACTAGCCGTGCCCAAGGGCACCTCAGGAGCATGGGATGGCTGGCTGCCCTTGCAAGCCACTTACAGGGTCTCAGACCAGCATCGCCCGACGGATTGACCGTAAGTTCTGACACTTGTTCACCGGTTTGGTCTAAACTCTCATCCTCCATTGGCATTCGCTGGAAGAGGAATGTTGCTGATTTGCAATCTTCAACATTGCTCGAGAGCTGAAAAGTGCCCGTTCGCGAGTTGACTCGCGAGAACATTACAATGAGCTGCCATCTTTCATGAGGGAGATCTTCAGTTTAGAGCCAAGAAATGGATAAATGAAGCCCAAAGTACACGGTATTTCAGTGAATGCAAATGCCATTCCCCCAAAGAGCTCACCAATTCGATCTGAACTTCGGAACAGCCGTCATTTCCTTTATTACGAAAAACCCGAAACATGAACAACACTCAACGTCAGTACCGAAGACTGACCGAAGATGAAGAGAATGCGCTCAGTCGCTTATACCCTACAGTCAGACAGGAGCTTCGCGAACGCCCAGGGGTGTACATGTTTCAAGATGGGCAAAATATCGTCATTGAACTGGAAGAGGACATTGCGATACCGCAGCAAACTTTCATCAGAATAGTTGCCGAGTACAAAAGATTAAAGACAACCCACCACAGCGGCAGCCGTCGGCCAAGACGGTCGAATTCTCAGTCGTCTCCCCTCAGTTCGCAAAACGACGCATCATGAGCGACGGTTCAAGGAATGATGTAATATGATAGACGATAGGAGTCTTGCGAGAGGAATCAGACCCAAGCCTCGTCTTTCTTGCTCGGCCGACAATGGATTTGAGCGGTCGGACTATTTTAGGACGCAGGGTTCCTCGTGGGTAGGGGCCATACTTTGCAGCGTAGGACACAGGACGTGGAGCGATTGACAAGATTATTTCCGGTAAACAAAGCCAGTTAACAACATCAATGATTCGGGTATCACAACGACTTCAACTGCCTGCCGTGATATTGTCAAATCACCTTACAATCTTCGCTTGGGCCCACGTGCTTCCAGTCATATGCGTCTAATTTCCGCATCAGGAATGACGGCTCATATGCCGCCTCTCCACCAGTCCATGATCTGGTATCTTCATTCAGACCCAGAGCCCCTCCCGGTAGTTATTCCATGTCAAAAGCCCATAGATTTCGTTAAATACTTCCCAGATCGGCAAGATCTCACCGAGAAAGTCGAGTCATGCAGACCTTTCATTACCGCCCACAGGAACAGACCGACTTTGACGGGACGGAAACGCCATGTGTGATGTGCGTGCTTACGAGGGCTGGATGTGTCATGCATGTGTCTACCTTGCGCTCTCTGCGAAGGGCTGGCCTGGTGGGCGGGTCAAGGTAGCAGCTAGCAGACCTGCCAAATGAGATCAAGAGCTTAGCCTACTATTTTGTGTTTGGTCTTAAGCAGCCGGGACCTGTGAGGTCTAACCTGCAAGTACCCGGAAAAGGGAATTACGAGTAAAGACACCCGAATTGTGAGTCGGAGAATTTCTATAGTAATGGAAATTGTCCGTGAATACCAACAGATTGAAAGAGGTTTCCATTTGGGCTAGGGCGCTGTTGCCCACATGCCGACACGGGACAGTGTGGGCGGAAGACTGCAGCTTGCACTTCCCTCCGCAAGAGGTGGCCCAGTCTCTAGGACTCAATGTCCAAGCGGCAAGGGTACAGCCGTAGTAGATTATCAGGCTTATACCTCAAGTCTCTCCATGGGGTTTGAGTAGCATTGGGATCCGGAAAGCTTTGTTGGGCCTTTAGCTCAACAGATCTATCATCCATGATCATCCCAATTCACTGATCAGCTGCCAGGCCAACGAGACTCAGTACATGAAAGGTCGTAGCCATACTCGATAAAAATGTTTGTTGGCAAGGTATCCTCCATAGAGTTCGTTGAGTGAGCCTCGACCAATGACCAGGTGAAACAAGAGCCCCTTGTGACTTGAGTAGTACTAAGGGATCGATCACCTGGGCAGGGCAGGGCTAAGTACTTGAGTACAACCAAGCTGAAGATCAGGATGCTTGGTTAGGTACCATTTGTGAACAACATAGTGTTGGCCTCTTTAGCCCAAGTGGAAGGCATTGCCACGTTTGCCCATGCAATAGGCCAGGGCGATACGAATGCGTGATGTGCAGGAAGGCCGAATCAGGCTTCCATTGTAGCTCACGCTAGCCTCAGCTGCAGACCGCAGCTTGGATTGAGCCAGCCAGCTACCGGGCTATTAATTTGATCGAGAAAGACATGGATATATCTTACGTTCAGTCGTCAAAGCCTGTACTAATAGGTCACAGCCCTCCAGTCTGCCAGCCTTGAATTGCCAGGTCTATCATGCGGCCAAATCAGTGCAATACCAGCGAACTAGGCAGACGCACTATCTTGTGCTCATTGATCGGTTTTGCATGTCAAAAGTTCAAGAAACAGAGGAGCGCGATCGAGATGGTGGACTCTGGGCTACGGAAGATTTCCACTGTGTGAAGTTTCGGTTGATGTACACGCCCTCGACCACACCTACCTCTTTTCAGGTCATCATTCCAAAGTCATACTCGAATCTGATCATCTAGATACTGCGAGAACTGTATTCAAAGGAAGCAACAATATCACGTTAAAGTTTCTATGTCCGAAAATCCCCAATCACGTAGCTCGTCATCCTTGCGACCACCCGTACTAAGAAGGCCGTCACCGTCCGATACATGATCTTCGTCTCCTAGTACCTTATTTCCAACTGGACAGGACCCTACTGCGGCAGACCGAGCGCTTCCAAGCCAGCTTCAAGAGGGAGCCTCTTCGTAACCACGCGTCCTTGAAGGCTGGTGGACATCTCGAGTTTCTCAAACCCATCGCAAGGTATCAACAAATAGCACTAAGCTCTTTCGTTAGGCCGACCCAACCCCACGACTCCACCTCATCGACTACCTCACGGCGAACGATACGAAGACAAATCGCCCTCATCGTAACTGTTGGAGGGATTAGATGTAGACCGGGCATGAAGACCGCGCGTAGCGCCAACAGGGCCGGCGACCGATATTGCCTATCGCATCATCTTCGACGAAAGGGCAAGCAAGGGACCATGTAAACCTAAACACGTATGAACCGAAAGCTACATATGCGATACCTGCCCCGGCGCAAATATGCCCTCACGGATCGGTCCTTGAGACTTTACCAAAACAAGACATGGATGAAAGGGAACGACAATTAGGGATTTTAGCCCAATACTATCTTGAGTAGGGGAAGATCGATTCGGGGCGTCAAGGCCTTATGAAAAATTCTGATATAAATGATACGCTATAGTCTGTACCTCGTATCAAAGACATAATCTGGATAGCCCAACGCCGAATACTCCAAGGACGCCATCAAACTCAAGCCGAAGCTCCCATGTCCCCAAGTTTACTCGCTACCGTAACTCACAGCCTCTCTGGAAACAACCATGCCGCAGCATATGTACCTGTAATCAAGCGCCGATGAACAGAAAGTGGCCCAAACACGACGTCGTTACCCAAGTCTTTCGACGTAACCATGCTCCTCTACTCTAGAGAACCGAAGCGAATCTCGTGATGGAGTTGGCGACAATGCGCAAGACGAGACCGGCAATACCGATTACAACGAAGATTTGCCCGAGCTCGATCCAGCTCTTCAAGCGGACCTCCGTCTCGAGGAAGCCACCCTTAAGATCCTCGCTCGCGGGAAACCGTCCGGTAGAAAGGTACTCCTCCATGATGGCGTCCTTCTCGTACCACCGCTCGCGAAGCCAGGTGTCAAAGACTTTGGCGTCATCTAGAGGAATATCGGCAAGGCGAAAGCGGCGCCAGTGGAAGTTAACCGACTTTGGGGGGCGACCTTGGAAGTAAGTGCTGGTGAGAGTGAAGAACTGGTCGCCAAACTTGCCGCGGCTGAATGCTGTTAGTGCGTGTCGCATATGATGTCGCAAACGAATGCGGGGAGAAAACGTCACTTACGGAACTCCTTCGTATGCGACTGTGCAGTCGTAAACGTAATCGAGGGAGCCCTTCAGCTCGTTCAAGCAGAAAAAGGTGCCAGTGCTCCGGGGGAGAAGCACGTGTTCAGGATCCTTGAGGTCGTTCTTCTTGGCCCACGCGGCCGATTTCCTGCGACCGTTGGTGGACAAGTTCGTGCCCTCGGGGAAGAGCAGGAGCCACATGGGATCGAGGTACTTGTTCCCGTTGGCGCCAACATGTTGCTTCTTCAGCTTCTGAAGTCTATGCGCAAGTCGTGGCTGATCGGTCGACATCTTGCGCGACATGAAAATGAAGCCGTAGAACATCATGCCAGCGCCGACGCCAGGAATGTACTTGAGCGACTCCTTGAGAATGATGTAGATGTGACCGTGCATGCTCGGAGAGTTTGCGTAGGCCACCCACCATAGGTAGAGCCAGTCGGTGTAGATCTGCTCAGCACCGTTAGTATCCCCGTCTTCGATATTGCATATGTCGCATAGTCCAGGTGTATCATACCTGATGGTTTGCGATGAGCACCACACGCTCTGGGAAGTTGAACTGGACCCTTCCGTCCGCCGTCTTTTGGATCTGCCCGTTCATCGACGCATCGCCGCTTATCCTGATGGTAGTGCTGCTCCAAATGTGCGTCATGGCAGTGATAGTCAGGCCAAAAGACTGCTTCGTGAGAGCCATGTAGGAGTAGAACATGTCGCGATTCGCCCAGTATAGTGGAACGCCCAAGAGCTGGGTCGTGATGATGCTGCGTGCGACGCATGTTAGCACAACGCTGTCGCAAAGGTTGACGAAGCATCTTTGAGGAGAACGTACGCAAGACAACAAGCAGCGAAGTAAACGCCAAATGAGAAGCCCCGAAGGACCTGCATTACTAGGCTGTGCTTGACGCGACCAGCCGGATGAGGATCGCTTGGTTTCCTGGCCAGGCCCGCGTTGGGGGCTGGCGCAGGAACCTTAGTATCGCGCTTCGCATCGGTTTTGTGGACGTCGGTCGCCATAATGGCGGTTATGGGATTATTTGTTCGGTCGTAGCCTTGAAGGGGAGATTCGAGAGGCATGAGGATGATGTCGAAAGGATGGAGACCACCCGAAACGTATGGGATATCGGTTCAGGGCTTATTAGGGACGACGACTTCGTTGCGCGGTGGTGAAAAAGTTGGCCGTGACGTCGCGTGCGACCTAGCATGTGAGACGAGCAGCTGGACAGTCGACAGCCAGGGTGATGCCTGGCGCGGCGGGGTCGGAGGGTCGGGGGAGGAGACGGTCGATCAAGATCACCGGGGGCGGGGCAACGGAAGAACGTTCGAGGTTCGTTTGAGTGCAGGATGGTGGAAGAAGTCGAGAGTAGGCGTGTTGATATTCGTCGATGACGGTCAGGTTAGGTGAGCATCGGTGCCTTGTAGGAGTCTAGAGCTGCTATGCCTGCGGCGTCATTGCGGTTGAAGGTGTCAAGCTGTGGTTCGGGCATGCAGAGTTAGGGCAGGGTAAAGATGGTTGGATAATTAGGTCGAACAAGGTAAGGTAAGGTAAGGTAGCGTACGAGGGTATGAGGCGGTAGATGGGCGGTAGAGTGGTGCCTTTGAAGCTATCCGAACACGCTCGCTAAGGCGTCAAAGGAGTATGTACCCTATTCAAAGTGGAGGAGGGCATGAGGTAACGCAACGAACAGCAGGGAAAGAAAGACTCAGAGTTGCGGTAGAAACATGGTCCGGTGTCTTGTCTGGTCTGGTCTGGTGTGTGGTTTGAGTCTGCAGCATCGGCCGAGCGCAGCCAGCTCACGGCCTTGGCCTTGATTTTGGGCCGAATCTGGAGGATGGAGGGGTTCAGGGTACGTACTGCTGTGGTATGTCATCGTCTGACGGTGTGCGATGTGCCGGCTGCTTCGGAGAAAGTGCGCCTGCACCTGGAACTGCAACTGTCAGCATGGGAAAGCACCAAAGTGGGAGCTACCTGCCTGCACCTGCCTGCTGCAAGCTGCGACATGTGGAATGGGTCCATGGCGGGGCAAGCACGCACAGCTCACCCTCCGCAATTGGCTGCATTTGGGGTACGCACGTGCCATGTACTGATGACATGGATCATCTCCCACGCCGAAGTCCGTCCCTCCGTTCCGTCTCCATTTATTCTCATTGCTTGTCTCCAAGATCGGCGTCAACCGAGCCAATCCCGCCGTCGCTATTCCCCATCTGACACACCTGCTCACCTGATCCTCACCGAGGGCTGCTACCAAGGTGAGTGCGATGAGGCAAGACATCCAAGGTCTGCTCTCGTCCACGACAGAAGCAGATCGGAACACCAACCAAAAGTTCTTTCGCGTTGCTTTTTCACATGTGAAACCAGAACATCAAACGGAGAATTGTTTCCTCTGAACAATTCAATGCCTTTGCACTAGTGCGAACCTTCATGTTCCATGGGAAAAAGATGAGATCAACTCAATTGAATCATGCATGAGGCTACCCGTGGCTGCCAAAGCTCTCCATGCACACCAAGCGAGAGCAGAAAAAAGATTTCTGCTTGTGAGCAACGCTCAGAGCTGGACGACCAACTTCTTAGCAGATACGCCCTGCTTCAACACATCCAGCCCGGCTTGGATCGACTCGAGCCCTTTGCCAACGACTTCCGCGTCCGGCTTCGGCTTCAGCTGGCCGTTCCTAAGAGCACCCGGAACAAAATCTCTCCAGACGGGATTCTGCACTTCCTCTGGATCTTGTGTTATCTGATAGGCAGTCACTGCTAAAAGATCAGCATTCGTTCACCATGGCATTCGGAGCCCGCTTACTCATGCTAATCTCCACGTTCTTCCCATAGTCGCTCTCCGCTGGTAACACAACACAGACCTTTCGCGGTCCAATTTGGTCCAGAATGGCACCAATGGGCTTCAGCGACTCCGGGCCCGAGATCGCATCATACACACCGACAAGATCCGCCCCAGACAACGCCTTGAGCGCGTCGTATACGAGGGTATCGGAGTGATAATCCAGAACCACCTCAGCTCCCAGGTCCAACACCTTATCAAAGTTGCGCTGTGAAGCTGTGGTAACGACTCTGAGCCCTGATACGACGGCCAGCTGCACCGCGGTGCCTCCTACAGAAGATGCGCCACCCCATATGAGGATCGTCTTGCCCGTTCGGCTCGGGTTGAGGGATGGCAAGGGTAGGTTGAGATGCTGCTTCATGTAGAGGCCTACCGCGGCTGTTGCGATTGCAAGAGGTAGGACCGAGGCGCTTTCGAAGCTCATATCATCTGGGATTGGGGAAACGAGGTTTGCGTCTGCCTTGCTGTAGAGCTGAAAGGTTCCAAACTCATGGTTCTGCTTGCCCAGCCCGGTGCAGTATCTGCGCATGGTGTCAGTTAAACTTGACAGGCAACTGACTAAAAGATCTAGGTAGGTAGGTAAATCTAGCTAGCGGCCACGCATTCTTAGACGAGTGACAGGGACGTACCCTATGACCCGTTGCCCTCTTTTGAGATGTGTCACGCCGTCGCCGACCTCTTCGACGAGGCCTGCTGCATCTGCCCCGAGAACGGTAGGGTACTTCTGTACAATGATGCCCAGATCCCTGGGCCACGTCAGTCGCAATTGTCCCAGCTTGTATACCACGGAGTACCTACTGAATCTTCCATTCTGCAGGATTCTCTTGGAGTGTTAGAAAGGGAACCTCAATAGCGTTAGATTTAAATGAGAAATATTGCTCACCAGAGCTGTCACGACGTTTTTGATGACTACCTCGCCTGGCCCGGCAGTCGGGAATGGAGCATCGTGGACCTTGAATGGGTAGGTTTGTGAACGTGCAAGCCAGGCAGCCTTGTTCCTCGACATCCTGACTTGGGCAACAGCGGTGAGATGTACGTTTCCTGTGCAGGATCTTGACTGTCGGCTGCAATATGGCAAACTTTTGAACATTGAACTTCTTCTTCGGACAGATGGTCTGGAAGGTGATGATACCAGGACTGATATATCTACTATCTCCATTCAGAGTCTTTCCAGAGTCAACATCAGATGACTTGTATTATAAATCCAGCCCCGGCCTTATCGGATCCTATTTTGACCGTTTAGAATTGCGACATCAGTCGAACGTAAACCAAAATGGCGGGGCCGAAAGGCGGATAGTGGAGGGCCGGGCACTGAGGGGGTGCTCCGAAACTTTCTCTGAACGGAAGGGTGCGAATGGAGGCGAATATTGCCAAATTGAGAAACATGAAAATGTTGTTGGTACTACTCAAATATCCCTCCAATTGTTTCTACGAATCTCCTTGATAAATAAGATATAAGTTACGCCGCGAGAACGAACAGAAGTCATTATCTATAAACACTTCGGTTGCAGACTCTACCCGAACTCCTTAAAATCAGATACACACACTGATCGTGAACAAAGACATAACCTCTTGACAACCTCTTGTCAGGCACTAGTTCTTAGCCACCTTGATCAACAAAGATCCAACACCACTGCCACCACCCCACTGCCGATGCGCAGTCTGAATATCCTCCATGTCCCAAACACACTTGATCGGCACCGTAATCGTCCCTGTCCTCAACATATCCAACAACGCCGTGACATTAGGCACATACGTTGCAGAGTCCCTGTTCAACGCATAGAAAGTCGTGCTCCTCTTCGTCAACAAGTTCAAATTCCTGGCAAAAAGCTTCAACAGCGCACCCGTCGGGTTTCGTGGAGGCGCGCCCTCGTTCAACGAAGCCTTGTTATTCCCGAACCCGACGAGCGTGCCGTCCTCGGCGAGGATGGAGTAGCTCTCATCGAAGCTCTCGAAGCCAAGCGGGTCAAACACGGCGTGCGCACCGCCCAGGGCCTTCATCTCCTTCATCCAGTTCTTGTCGCTGTAGACAAAGGGGATCCCGCCCTCGCGCCGAACGTCAATATGGTTCCGCTGGCTCGCGGTGCCGTATACCGTCGCGCCCTGCAGTTGCGCAAGCTTCATGAGCGCGAACCCCACGGCGCCGCTCATCCCGTGCACGAATACCCGCTGGCCCTTGGACACCCTCGCCGAGTGCATCACCATACCGTACGCGGTATTCCAGTCGCAGATGAGCGCCGTCGCCTGGCGGTGATCCACGCCGTCGGGCACGCGGATGCAGTACTTCTCGGGTTGGTTGACCAGCTCCGCTTCGGAGTCGTACTTGGTCAGGACGGCGACGACGTCGCCGATTTGGAAGTTCTTGGAGCCCTCGCCGAGGGCGCGGACGGTGCCGACGAGGCAGTAGCCTGGTGTGAGGGGCGCTTTCTTCATGAAGGGGTAAATGCCCTTGCGCATGTTGACGTCTGCGCCGGAGAAGCCAGAGTATTCTGTGGCGATTTGGATTTCGCCGGGGGGCGGTGGGGGGCAGACATCTGTGACGACTTTGATCACGTCGACGTCGCCGTACTGGGAGATGATGACTTTCCGGATGCTCGTCATTGTGGCGGTTGGAGGAAAGATGGTGGTGAAGATTTGACGAGACTGGAGTATAACAAGTTGAAGAGATACACGTCTGAGTCTCGGAGCCCAAGGGAAAAGAGAACACCGGGAGACCTTTTAAAACATGCAAAAAATATCCCGAGATTACTTTACTTATGGGCTTGCTATTGCTCAGTTCCCATGCACTGAGGTAGATGCCGGGGTACAGACTCTCATCTCATTTTTTGCGATGCTCAACGGAGACGATGAGGTGCCGGTAGGCTTCAGCACCAACCGAACAGCGGTAGTCAGCGGGTGTCCGTCGGCACACGGAGCGGTCCGCATGATTTGTCTTACACCCGCATACGCACTGCCGGTGTAGATCTCGATCCTTCGCCGATACCCCAAGGAGATGGTCAGCTCGAATGATAATCCTCCTTCACCTCTAACAGCTGCCGCATCATCATTACTTTCATGACCAGCTTGGCTCTCCCTGGGTTAGTATCTGAAGCCCCAACTGTCCCCTAACCCACTTACATGCAGCTGCGTACAGTGACCAAGCGACTGGACTGAAGTGGTCCAAGCTCACCAACTAAATAGGGTACATGCTTGCTAAACTCAGCCGGAATTTCATCGACCAGGCCTGCTGGCGAAATGGCATCGCGTCACATTTCGGCTCTCTAGTCACCCTGTGAAGATTGTAGGTTCGATCCCTACGTAGGTCGGTTTCATTTTTGCGATATTTAGAGCCTCACTTTCGACCTCAAGTGAAATGGCAGCCACATGATGGAATGAAGCTCATTGAGTTGTTGGGTATCAATTGAAGTGAGGAGTTTATCCTTTTCCTCCCGTGATCAAAAGGCTGTTCATAGCTAGCCAAACTCAACTTTCAACGGTGGTCAAATGCGTGTGATGAGAGCTGAAGCTCAACGACAATCGTTTCACAATCAGAAATTAGCGTGCATGTTGTCGGAAAGTTCACAAATCCAATCCTTCAATGGAATGCTTTGCATATCAAACAATGTTTTGATCGACTATACCCAGCGAGCAAGGAAAAGCCCCTAGTCTTGCACGTTGAATAGAACCAGAGGCGCCAGGGTCTATGAACGATCTTGGAAGCAATATCCTTGCCTCCCCCTCACGAAGCTACCCCGATTTTAGACTCACGTAGTCGTAAAGCTTTCAGCGAGTGCTCTCCCTCCGCGAGTTTCGGATTGATCGGGATAATTGGTGCGGGGAGAGTTCGGCAGATGCGGTTCGGATGGTATTTATGCTCCGGCAACGCGGGGCCGGAGCTACATCATAAGCACAGCTTCCTCGCTTCTGTCTCCTATTACTCTCACTGCAAATTACAAGATCACGATTGGGCATACTGAAGGCACGATGAGATCTTCTATACTTGATTCAGATTATGTCCAGGTCACCTTTTCGGGATTCCTGTTGGGTCTAACGATAACTAGCGCCGTGATCTACGTCGTCTATCAGAGGTTCCTTCATCCCCTGGCTGCTTATCCGGGCCCATTTTGGGCATCTATCACGGATCTGTGGCAGGTCAACCAGTTCCTGTCTTTGAAGCAGCCTTACAACTTGACCGAGCTTCACGAAAAGTATGGCGAGTTCGTGCGATATGGACCGGATAAGTTGAGCATCACCGCCGAAGAGGTCGTCCCGCTGGTCTATCAAAAGGGTGGCCAGCGGATGCCCAAGACGGAGTACTACGATGCATTCGGCTCCAAGACACCGAACATCTTTGGCATGAGATCCACAGAGGTGCGAAAGTCGGCGCATCTATATGGAAATTGGCGATTGAAATGCTGACGGAACGTAGCTGCATTCCATCAGACGACGTCACATGTCACACAGCTTCTCCATCACCAGCGTGAAGGGCATGGAAGAGTACTTGGATCAAAACATTAAGATACTTCGTGATAAGATCTCACAATTCGCAAAGACCGGAGAGGCTTTTGATCTCAAGAAACTCTTGCACTTCTACACCATTGACGTGCTCGGCGAGCTAGCCTTCAGTCGCTCTTTCGGGGTTCAGGTCTCAGGCGATGAGTCTCGTGTACCGCCCGTCATCCCGCATACGCTTCTAGGCTCGACCCTAGGAGCGTGGCCGGCCATGACACAAACCCTCAAGCAGTGGCTTCCCAAAGTACCAAACACCGGCCTGCAGAGTCTGTTTGCAGGCCGAACCAAGTGCGCTGGGCTGGCGGCTGAGTGCGTTCAGAGGAGATTGACGGAAGTAGAAGAAGACGAGAATAAGGGCAAGGTGCAGAGAAAAGACATTTTGACTAGTCTCATCTTGGCCAGACATCCCGACACCGGAGAGAAGATTGCGAGGGTTGATCTGGAGGCCGAGGCATTCGGAATGATGTAGGTCAAACTCCAAGCACGCGGGAAGTTATACAATCGGCGCATGCTGACTCCATCTCGTAGTATTGCTGGAACACATACGACTAGCGCAACCACGACACTTCTGTTCTGGAATCTACTACACAACCCAGACGCACTCAACAAGTGTGTACAGGAAGTGGACGAAAACCTGACTTCTCTGGACAATGGGAAAGACGCCTACTCAATCACCGAAGTAGAAAGCTCCCTACCATTCCTTAGGACATGTGTCAAGGAGAACTACCGCATTACCCCTGTATTCACGATGCCGCTGGCAAGACGTGTGACGGCTCCTGAAGGAATCATGGTTGCGGGCCGTCACATCAAACAAGGGGTAAGATCAAACTAAAGTGCTTTTGACTTCGCCCTAAGAAAACTTACTCTGCCTTAAGAGCTACTCACAGTGGTGAATTCATGGAGCTAACATTGTGAGTCATAGACATCCGTGGCAGTATGCAATCACGCATTCCATCACAATCCGCAAGTATGGGGCGACGACCACGACATCTTCGACCCGTCAAGGTGGGAGCGACCAGAGACAGCTGCGCGCGCCCGCTATCTGATGCATTTTGGACTGGGCGGTCGTCAGTGTCTTGGCAAAACGCTGGCGCAATCCAACATATACAAGCTGACCAGCACTTTGCTGCGTGAGTTTGACTTTCAACTAGCTGATCCTTTAAATAGGGGACTTGCTGCGAATGGGAGCTTCCACGGGGTCTTGCCGGAGCTGATCAGCGTTGGGGTGAGTGATCTGGCGGGACCTTTGATGGTCACAGTCAGTGCCAGGACTCAGATGTGATTGAAGGGTAACAGATGAGGAAGACCGCTAGCATGCTAGCTCAAACATTAGCAACGTGGACGACATATGTGGGAGTACAACCATGTTGCCAAGTCATCTTTGTTTTCACGTAATTGTCCTTGCCAAAGGAAGCAGCATCATCAAACTGAACCCGAGGTTTCCTCGCAGGAACAGCTCTCCTGCAAGGCCTAGATCATGACTAAACCTATCTGATGCGGATAGAGCTTACGACTAGTTTCATAATTGTTACCTTCAGGCATGCAATTATCATTTCGTTCTTAGCACCGATCTGTTGCTTCGCATGCTATACGATGTTGCTGTAGATTCGATGATCGCAGTATCTGTAGTGCCGCAGTCTTCCATAGCTGAACACAACACGCTAATTGAGTCGCTTCGTCCTAAGAGATTAATTTATAAATTTGTTATTGATATTTACAAGATCTCAAATCTTGCAGTTCAAGGCATAGCCCCCATGATATCTCTGTACCTGTAGCCCAGACCCTTCATATATACCTTGACCAAACGCCGCCCTGGGCCAAGTCCGGGCCAAATCCATTATTCGTTAATACGTCATAGACATTATAGACATGAAAATTACTTCTAATCCATCACTCCATCAAATCTGTGCAGGCCTCATCTTCTCCAGCTCGGTCGGCAAAGTCGGTAAGCTCGAGTGCTTTACGGTGTTCTCCGCATTCCAACCCCGGAACATGGGATGCGAAAGCAATGGTGGCGTCTTCAACCGGATCGTAGGCGGCCGTATCGGACCACCGGACTCCTCTTCCACCGGTAGCGTCACCCGTCTCGTGGGGTACTTCTTGTGAAGGAGCTGCCACGTCCTCTCGACGCGCGCTTCGTGCTCGGTCCAGTCGCCTCGAAGGGACATGAGCAACCCTTCACCTTCCTCCGCGTCGATGCTCGTCTTGGATCTGCTGTGTCCATGCCACGTCTTAGACCGTGTCCTGGCGGGTGGTGAGACGGGCTCGGTGGGTGTGTCTAGATATGGAGAGGCGGCGCCGGGAACGGGTGTGACGGTGACGGATGACCTATTTTGTAGCGACTTGCGGATAATCGTGTCCCTCAACTCCTCCTCGGCTAGCATGATGCGCGACTGCGTGAGTTTCGTTCGCCGCGTGTACTCCTCCCACGTGAGATCCGGATCACGAAGACAGGCATTTTTGTATTCTTCAGCGAATTGCCTCTTGCGGCGGCGACGGGTTATCGTGAAATAGACGATGATGGCGATGATGAAGAGGAACGCGGAGCCGAGGATTGTGGAGACAATTATGAGCGTTTGTTGGCTGGGGCCGCCGCCGGTGGTCGTTCCGGCGGTGAAGTCGGCAGCTACGGGATCGGAGTCGGTCTTTGCGCCGGACCTCGTATTGAGAAGAGGAATGATCATGTTGTGTATAGGTTGTCTACGACGCTGTGGCGTTGTGTTATAGCGAGTGACAGAAATTAATATTCCAGTTATTAGAGCGAACGTGGTGCGTACATGAAAACGACTGTGTGGACGAGCGAGAATAAGTGGGATGAGCGCGCAAATTCTTGACCGCTTCAAAATTTGTGTGCGACGATCGCTCGCGGGGGAACCGGAAGGCTTTGTATATACACGTAGCAAACCACACCTACTACCTCTCCCCTCACATTAGTAACTAAGGATAGCAAGCCGGGTCAAAAAAGGCGGTATTCTATTTAAAACATGCAGCTTCCCAAGAAGACAATAACCCACGTCGGCAGCCCAGGACGCAGGACGTTGCTAGTCCCATGACTGCGCAGGAACGCCAGGAACACGGCATTCGCTCACCGTATCCCGCAGGAGGAAGAAAAAAGCCTGCAGGTGATTCTTCTGCACGCCATGCCTGCCACCCTTGGCATGAGAAGCGAGGAAAGAAAGTTCGGATACGGGACTCGTCAAGGACTCTCCGACTCAAAGGAGCAAACATGGGCAGAGAGGCAAGCTAGTAAGCATGCCTATCGGGGTGGGATCTCTCTCGCAAGGCCAGGGTGCTGAACGTTCGAAAAGGATGGCTGGACAACTGTCTCTCTGGTGATTCGGCCGTTGGGGCTGTCCACGAACGCCTCGCCAAAGAGTGTCAGGCAACATCCACAACAGACGACAGAAACAGGGGACCTGAGAACCGGAGAGCGCGTGTTTTCCCCCTAGAGAAAGCCATACAAACCAACAAACCAGCCCAAGCGAGGAGGGGCCTTAGGGCTGCCAGGGGTTTTGACTGGCTACGTGTGCGCTATAATTGGCCCCGGACCTGGCCTTGTCGGGTCGCCAACACGAGGTCAGGCACAGTAGCGCGGCATTGGCGGAACGGGGCTCAAAAAGCAAAATCCCGGACGAGTGCCGGGGGTTGCCCGTGTGGCTGATCAGTGATAGGAGAAAGGGACTCAAAGAGGAGAGTTGGGGAGGGAGCGGGATGCGCAACCCACCAACCCGCGGCCTATCAGAGTCTCAGGAACTCCCGGTGGCTGGCCAGCGAACGAGCCGCGCAAGACAGGGATCGGATGGTTTTGTTCGTTTCTTCTCTTCTTCTCTGCCGCTATCTGGAGTGAACTGCTCCCAAGCCGGGGGTGCGGCAGCCTGCACTGCCCACTACAGTCGAAGTTGAGGGGAATGGGATTTCTGGCCCTAGTCTTGGAAGCCCATCGGTCGTGGAACATGGCCATTGGGCCATGATTTCATGCTCGCCTCGCCTGTGCCAATGGTTCCCATTCATGTGCGTCTCTTCAAGCACGACATACGAGTGGGTTTGTTGGTGAGTCCGACGCTCAATCCCGGGGGAGCACCCCATTGCATTGCCACCAGATACGGAGTACTTCCTGGCTGCCTCCCGGTGTAGAGGCTCCGCAACTTGCAAGTTGGGAGAGAAAGAATTCGACTCAATATTGTTGACCATCCTGGCGCAGATGAAGAGAGATCTCGGACATGACGATCTCCTTTTGTCTCACTCACGCAGGTCCTATCGCGCGTTGGCCCACCATGTTTGCTTTCTTCAGTCCAATAAAGTACACCGCCTCGCCCGTTTGCGCTTTCGGGACAAACGGCGCCCAACTATTTAGGTGTTTCCTTCTTTCGCCTGTGCAACCCAACGTCATGTTGCATCTAGAGTGTCGGTTTCAAAGACACAATCAAGCGACACAAATTTCCTGCGATTTACCGCTGCTCGAATTCGCCCATGTTGGCGATTGTTTTGATTATCTATTGAGAATGGCAGAACCTGATAGGTTGGGCATGTGGAGGAAAATCAGATATCCTTCTCCAAAGCAAAGTCCAACACCACCACTTTTCTTTCCTTTTCCTCAGTTCGTGTGTAAATCGAAACCACCTGCTGTGACCCAGATTCAAACGTCTCGACCTGCGGCTCGCCGGAGAACCCATCCGCCTGCCACAGCGTGCGATAGTCCAGCGCGACCTCCCCATCCGCAGTCCCTGTCTGAGCCTGAGTGGGCAACCTGGCGCCGAGAACGGTGAGCTTATCGTCTCGATTCCCCGGCAGCGCAAAGACGACGGTCTTCTTGCCCGGCAAAGCAATGACATCCCCGCGCGCTCCAGTCCGGGTCGGCTGCAGGTCCGCGGGCAACGCGTGGCGGCTCCATTGCCCCTCTGGGCTGCGGTAATAGTGTATCCAAACTTCGTTTTCTCGGTTCAGGACGTGGAACCCGCCATCGTCATCTGCCGCTTGCGCCTCCTGGTTCAGAATGCCGTTGTTCATCGGGATGTCGAAGACGATGAGCCCTTCGCTGTCGGGGTATACGGTCTCGCCTACTTCGAGGTTCGCAAGCCTTTCGCCCTTTGTGTTGTTGAATGTTTTCCCACCGTCGTCGCTGTTTACATAGAAGAGCTAGATCCAAAGTCAGCCGAGCTCTTTGCAAGACCCGTCCACAGGCAGGCTGGGGTTTTACGCACATTGTGATTATTTTCCGGTCCATTAGGTCCAGCTTGGACAGTGTGCGTTCGCGCCTCTGGGTCGTCCACGCCTTCGTACCATACGAACCCACGATACGTGCCAGATACATGTATGCGCCCGTTGGCATATGAGATGCCGTTGATATACGGGTTATTGTTGACGCCGGTGAGAAATTGTCCGACGTAGGAGTACGACTGATCCTTGCTCCTGTACCTGAATAGGTGATCGGAGCCTGCTCCCGCACTGCATCTCAGTTAGTCTTAAGCTCATATCTGCACACTGTTTCCCAGTCACATACATGCCAATGCGATAACTCAGCAGGAGATCGTCGTCGATGCGGATAAAGCGCGGGTATGTAGTCTCCAAGAAGAGTTTCTCGACTCCCAGCTGGCCTGTGCGAGTGTATCCCGGGAGCTGATTGTGGGTTGGACTGAAGAGTGAGGTTTTCCACTCATGAGCTTCCGGCTTCGTCGCTACGCCTGGTATTGACATGCGATAGCGCAGGCTGCATGGAGCAGACTCATCAGCAATGCCCCATATAATGAAGATGATGTCTGAGGAATGGCTCACGGATCACAGTGGTGGTCGAATGAGACATGGATAGTGCCATCTCCGGCGCAGACTCCTATCGAGATGGTGTTGTGCCCATCATCCGCAGTCTGCTCGTAGTCTTCAAACGTCAAGGTCTCCCAGCTGCCGAGTGAGTCGCGGATGGGTCGCCGAGCGAGGCTGACGAAGAGGGCGTTGCTTCTCGCATCTTTGTGAGTGTAAAAGCAGGTATACTGCCATCCATTAAAGGTCGTTAGAGCATCTTGCTGGAAAGAATTGGCGTTGATCCGATGCTCTCGCCGCGCGTCCAGGGCCAACTCGGACTTGGCAAGAAACTTCAACTGAGAACTCATGTCGCTTCTGAGAACCTTGCCAGGCGTATGCGTGTGCAAAGTCTTGGATGCCGTTTAGCATATGCGATACTACAGATCAGAGGCTTGTATGAAGAAGTGCCCCTCCAATCACTTTCATAATCTATCACGGTGACGTACGCGAGGTCCCTCCGGTTAGGTTCGGGGGAAACTGGGCCGAGTGGAGGAGGATGGACGGTTCCCCGCGCGACGAATCGCCCGATGTGCCGATACGACTGTGATCCCCGGATCTTCCCCCGACTACCGATGCGCCGATACAACGCCCCGCACTTCCATAAACCATTGCGGGTGACCGACCTGGACGAAAAGGAGACCATTCAGCCCTGGCATCCCCGCAATTGGGGCCATTTACAGCTTCTTTCCCCGCGTTGGCAATCTCCAAGTCGATTTTGCCAACCAACCGATACCCGTAAACCAAGGAATAGGACAAGAGGCCAAGAGGCAAGATTGACAGCCAAGCCGTCAACGTGGTAGCAAACAGCTCGTATCGATTTGACTGTATGGATATGAGAGCATTGAGTATTATAACAGAGACGAAGTTTGTTTTCGCAATGTTCTTACAATTTTGAGATTATGTTCCGAGCACCTTTGATCGCGTGTGAGTGATAATACCGACGTGAAATTTCTAACGAATCGGAGAATTGCTGGAGAGTCAAAAAGATGGGCTGGAACTCCAAGTTGAAGAATAGCGACGACCGTCAGGCTCTAGAGTCGACGACACCTCTCAATACCAAGACAACATCGTGGCTAAAAGATCCTGGACTCCGTCCCCTCAATTTCGGTCTCTTCTTCCTGCTATTCGGCGATGTCGCTCACGGTTTCGACGGATCCTTGATCAACAATCTTCAACAGATTAGCAAATGGCAAGATGGTTAGTCATTCACCGTTTGTCTGGGCCCTCTCGACGTGCACTTCTCGACATGCTGATAGGGTAGAGGTCAGACTTTGACCACCCCCGAGCGAGTCTTCTAGGTGCCATGAGCGCATCGTACTGGATCGGGAACATCCTAGGAGTCATCCTCATTCCCCTTGTCGCAGATCGGCTCGGCCGACGCATCGCAATCGCTATAGGTTCGTGCCTTTGTATCGTAGGTGCAGCAATCTGCACAGCGACAGTGAACCACGGAGCCTTCATCGCTGGCCGTATTCTTCTTGGCATGGGAGGAGTCATGTGCTCTTCCGTTTCGACTGTCTTGATGACGGAGCTGGCGTACCCATCCCACCGGGCCACGGCGACGGCATTGAGCAGCACGACATACAGTGTCGGGGCCATCTTGGCTGCCTGGGTAGCCTTTGGGAGTTTCCGAATTTCGGATTCTTGGTATGTTTTTGCTCGTCGGGGAAGCTTTCCACGCGAAGGCCGAAAATCATGTGCACTGACTGACAGTTCTTCACCATCCCTAGGGCGTGGAGAACGCCGACACTGATTCAGGCGTTTCCATCGGCGATGGTGCTCTGCGGACTCTTTTTCTTGCCGGAGTAAGTTTGCCAAGAACCAGTACTTGACTCAAAGCTGTAGCTGAGCCACAACTTCTAGATCGCCTCGATGGCTTTGCAGCAAGGGCAAGGAACAGACGGCGCTTGATATCCTGACGGAGTACCACGGCGCAGGTGATGCCGACGACGCAGTTGTACAGCACGAATATGCCGAGATCAAAGAAACTATCGAAGCGGAGATCACGCAGAACAAGAACCCTTTCCACCTCAAGGCTCTTTTCGCAACCCCAGGCAACCGGTGGCGATCGTTCATAATCATCTGGTGCGGGATATGCAAACAATGGTCTGGGAATGGGCTAGTATCGTACTATCTGGGGAGGTTTGTTTCTCCAAAAAGTTGACCACAGAATTTTGGGAATAGAGCTAACACGGCATGATACACGTTAGCATGCTCAAAAGCGCAGGTATCACCAAGCAGATCGAGACAACATTGATCACTGCAACATCTCAGATGTTCAGTTTCGCATGTTCCTTTGCGTTCGCCTTCCTCCCGGCGCGTGTCGGCCGCCGGCCCCTCATGCTGACAAGTATGGCCGGAATGTGGGTGGTATTCGCAGTCATCACGGCCACGTCCGGCGCCTACGTCGAGACAGGGAACCGCCACGCAAGTTACACCACCGTAGCATTCATCTATCTCTACAGCGGTGTGCATAACCTAGGCTGGACGGGGGCACAAATGCTTTACAGTAGGTCAAAGCCCAGTGCCCCAAAGGGACGGTTAGCCTTTGAAACGCTGACGCGCCGTGTACCCTCTAGTTGTCGAAATCCTTCCCTACACCATCCGCGCCAAGGGCATGGCCATGTTTTCTCTTGTCGCGGGTATTTGTGGAGCTTTTAATACCTATGTTAATCCTCTCGGCATTGCAGCCATGTCCTGGAAGTTTTACTTCTTCTACGTTGGCTGGATCATCGTCCAGTTTATCGTTGTGTACCTGTTCTTCCCCGAGGTAAGCTCTTGATTATGATCAGGATGAACTACTTGTTGACGTTATCTAGACCAAGGGACCTAGTTTGGAGCAGATCGCGCTGCTTTTCGATGGTAAAGATGCTCAGATGGGTCGAGTCAATGTTGTGGCTGAAGAGATGCTCAACGAGAAGGGCGAAATAGCGTTCCAGGAAAAGCAACAATTGTAGAGTTACTCTATAGAGTTGTTGCTACGTTTTCACTGCGGACGCAATCCATATGCTCAACTGTTACACTCCTCAAGTGTACCTTATGACGGAAGTAGCCTACAGAGACGGTTACAAAACTTGCCCTGGCAGCATGACCACTAGACACAGTCGCGTCGTTGCAACTCTTTTTGTAAGTTTCGTGGCGGAGCTATTTGCCAAGGAGGTTTGTTGATCATCCGCTCTTGGCGAGAAGTTGCATGTGCTCCGTACGACCCAAGCTTCGGCGTACAAACTTCAGCCCACAGACTGATGCTGTAAAGAGCTGTTACCTACACTAAAAAGAGACACTCAAGGGTATGATTGCCCCTGGCCAAGAACCAGCGGGCGTGTGATCCACGTGGAGACCCGGCTCCCACATAAGTTCAACCAGTCTGCATTTGGGACTAATCGCGTGATGGTTTAGATGCGGCCTGAACGTCCAACCTCCTTCGTTGAGCTTCCAATCGCATCCAGGCGCCGAGTCCCCTGGAAACGGGCGACAGCCACGTAGATCTCCGTGAACAGATCTACTTTACAATGAATTTGGGTTGCCGGATTAAATCTAGAGCAAATTGATTTTGGAGCACTGAAAGTAAGGTATGCAAGGCAGTCGGAAGTCCCACGGGTCACGACTACCGAAGAGGCATTCTCGTGCTACGATAATTCTTGAGGTGAGCTGTGAGTGGGGGATGTGCTTATCTTACACATCGAGTACAATTATGTCGTAGTAAACTTCTTTAATATGACTTAGGTCCTCCGCATTGACATTAGCCCAGTAATTATCTCTTATCACAGCAAAAAATTGGGCTAATTCCTAAATTCCCTCGGGGATGTCGCGGCCTTCAATAGTCCGATATCCACTTGTCCGTCTTTTTTGACTCAACGAGAACGAGACCGGAGGAGGACTACCACATCTCGAAACCACCTTAAAAACTCTATTGTCAAAATTTCTGACGTCAGAATCTACGGGAGGAGCTTCCCTTGTTTACCAAACGCCAAGAGTTTCACATCGCAGCTGTCAGCAGTCAAATGTGAATCCCTATCCTTGACCCCATATGGAGCTAGCATGCCTCGCCCGGGAACCCTAGTCCAATACCTTCAGGTGGATTCATGGGGTATTGGAAATCAGACAATCAATGGAGTGATTTATCATACGGAGAGGCATAGGTCAGGTTATTCCCGTCATCTCAACTATCGAGAGGGAGGTTTGACTTTGAATGAATGCCCAATTACGGCGTACTCGGCGAAGTCAAGGTCGGCGATTACAGACTTACTTTCTGTCACGATCCTGTTGCGGATAGATGCGTCTTCTCACTTCTCGGGTCGATCGGTAAGCTCCGCGATCTCAGTCGAGGTGGTTGCAGCGTACGCAAGGTACCAACTTTGTGCTTTTCGGGCCGGAGATGATCGAGGTTTGAGTAAACAGAAGGATAGGGCAGTCTTCAGCTTCGAAAAAAATGTTACATTTGATGTTACTGTACTGTACAGTTGCAAATCATATCTGGGTATATCATAGTAGCCCTGTGAGCTGTAGTTAGGCCAGCTGGCTAAGGCCTGTACACGTGTACCTCATGTAGTCGTCTAATAAGCGTCATCATCTTACGGTCCAAGTGCTTGAACGTAGCCGGACTCCAACGAGTCTGGAAGTTCAGTCCTTTCCCAAAGTTGTAGAAGAGCCAGCACTGTAGTTGCTTGCATCACTCAACTTCCTAGCCGCAAGCTTCGGTCGAGTGGGTGGTGCCAGCGTGTTGACCTCAACAGAGACTGTCGTGGTTGTCTCGCATTGAATTGCCATGCCCATGACAGAACCCTCTCCCATCCCAAAGCCTTTCATGCTTCCTTTCATGCTCTCCGTACTTTCGGCGCTATCAACTTTGAGCGCCCTCAAACCGCCTGACTTTGGGCCCTTTCGGGCAACTTTCTCGCACCACTTGTTATATCGCCGCAGCCGTTTCTGTTCCGAGGTCGGGCCACCCATGACGATGGTTGTGTTGCCGAATTTGGGAGGTGTGCCGCACATGAATGAGAATGTCTCCAAGCCAACCTCCTGTGATGGAGGCCCTTCGCATGAGAAGACAATGAATCGTCTAGTTGAAGAATAGAGAACAACATCCATCCAGCCATTACAAGCAATCATTGCTCCTGCGAAGCAGAAGTATCCGAGCGATACGTCGTGCCCTGTCATGGAAGCAAGACGGCCAGCAGCCAGAGGTATAGTGCAGACAACATAGACGAGGGGGTATAAGAGAAAGGTGTGTTGACGAGCATAATCTGGAATGTTGGGTAATCGTCTAAGAATCGACGTCAAGCACATCGGACGCCAAAAGGAGCTCGACATTGTGCTGTGGTTATCACAGCTTGACGCGGTGCCTGAACTTGATCCGCTGTAATTTGATAGCGTTGGTGCCGTTGCCGAGTGTCCACAGCAAGGAATGACCCCGCCGCTTTGCCGAGCTAGTTTCTGCAGGTGAAGGAATATTATGAAGTAGATCAAACTCGTCAGAATCAGTGAAATGAAGATCCAAAGATAGTGAAGTGTCAACCGGACGTCCTGATACTTGGAATTGATCCAACACTGTTGCGTGTTAATGATGTGCTGTTGCCGCGATGATCATGAGCAAGGCTGACTCACCCAAGCGCCCGCTCTTACATAGAGGCCGCCCTCACTTTTCCCATTCTCTGTGATGATAACGCCGAGAATCCCTGTCCCGTAAACGAAACTCCACATCATGACAATTGCGGTGTGAAAGGCCCATGTCGGAATTTTCTTAGCCGAGACGATGGACATGTAGGTGTGGATCGCGATACCCGTGATAAACACAGAAGACGCCAGGTCGCCAGTCGACACAAACCATCCTTGGGTCCAACAAGTGCCTGTACCGACTTCAATGGCGTTTCTAGTCAGCCACTCTACGTTGAGTAGAAAGGCCAGCGCTTGTTGGATATCGGCGAGTAGGAGGTTGAAAATGAGAACGAGAAACTGGTTCGGCGGCTCATTAATAGCTCTTTGCCACCAAGTCTCCTTCTGCTTCTTTGCAGTATCTTCTTCAGTTGCCGCCGTCCAATTACTTGGAATGATGAATGCTGCGTCTGTCGGCTTCGGTGACTCAACCTTGATGATGAGATCCTCCTTCTTCGGGGTCGGTGGGCCGTTTTGCCATTGTATCAGTTTGTACGTGAGAAACGTCAACAAACCCAGGCTGGTAAAGAAGGAGAGAAAGCCCATCGTCGCCACCGCGGCGAGGCCATGGCGAAGAACTGGTGGTAACGGACGGACCGAGTAGGGTGAGCTATCCGAGTCATAGTGGTCTACTATATCTTCCGACTCGTTCATCTCCGCAATGTTGATGGGTTCAGCGACGGTTCGCAGCTGCGTGTGAATGTCATCAAGAATACGATGACGGGTTGTCTTTCGGTGTTATACCATCCCACAGAGCCTCAAAGATTCAATGTCAAGGGGGTCATGGCCCAGAGCGTCCAGACCAGGGACCGTCTGTAGCTTAAAAGAGAACCCACCCTAGCCTCAACATCAGCCGTCAAGCGGCAAATCCAAAAGACCATCTGACAATGCTTTCGTGCCAAGAACCGTTATCCCAGCCGTATGGAGGAAATAATCCGAGTCATAGAAACGACTCAGCTCGTTGGTCATGGGGGGGGGGGGGGTGGGAAGCGAACGTTTCTTTCCAATTCGGATTTACTCGGGAAACAATCAGCAGTTCTCCGAGACAAGTTGAATTCTATACGCGCGCGCGCCGCGCTATGGTAAACACCTGATCTTTCATAAGATTTGTCGATTAGAGTTCGCCATGTGTGTGTACCGCCATCGAGCTCTAGTATTCGCTGTGGGAGCGAAAGAGAAGTGTGCATGTTCCATCCCCGTTCCAAATCGTTCCAGGCTAAAGTATGTCTTCGACGGGACGGACTCTCGTGGGCTTCGGCGTCCCGCGGACCGGGATGACTCAAGCCTCCCTTTTTCTTGGCCTGTCTACTGTCTAAGTGCGTCTCTGAAGCACAACCCTCCTCATGGGTCAGGGGTTGATAACTCGGAGATTTCTCATTGGCTCATTGACCTCCCTTTTTGGACCTACAATTGTCCGAGCACGACGTGATGCCACGAGTTGAGCCTTAGTGTGGACGTGCGTCTCCCGCAAATCGCCTTTGTTTCCGCCCCCAAATTCCGCCTTTTCTGCTGAGACACCGTGAACGGTTGGACTTTGCCAAGGCGACCCTGACTGAGTTGAAGCGGATGATAAATCGACAGAAAGAAATACTGCCCCTTACAGTGGGACCTTTGAGTCCACGAGCCGCGGCAGTGGTCAGTAATACACCCGTTCCCTCCGTGGTCGTGAAGAGGTGTTCGCCCCGGAATTCACAATCTTCCCCGAAGTGGAGTTTTAGGCTAAAATCCTCCTATTCGGGCATTTTTTAACAGCCGCCAAGACGGTTCCGCGCGCATCAATCCGGGGAAATCCACTTATTGCCATCGCCGATATGTCTAGTTCGACCAGGACGGTGGGGGCCGAAGCTGTCGTGTAGTACTTTACCTACTTACCTTAGTACCGTGCCTATACTGAGAACCACGCGGATCTTGTGAAACTTGAGATCGTACCGAAGACCATGAGAAGTCAAACTCAACACAACTTTCAAATCGGCGCCAGTATCTTGTACCCACGTGGTAGGAACTTTACACAAGATCCGAAAAGCTTCCGATGACAGTGAAGTTCTTGCAACGTGGTCGTCAAGCACATTACTGGAGTTTTCATTGGATCGCAAACGAGTATTCAGCAAAAGTCAAGTTCGTGTGACTAACAGAACGTTCTGGCCTATCTATCGGTCGGTTTCCTCGTCTTAGCTATCCCGCCAAACTTCAAACAAGATGCTGAATGCAAGATGCAAACTCTACTATTATTGCACGCCGTGTTGGGATCTGAGCAGCCAGCGTCTCGCTTTCGGATGATGTCTTTACCGACAGGCCTGAGTTA